AATATTTCTAACGCATTTTGAAAATTTTTTTAAAAATATATAAGAAAAACTTTATAAAAAATTTAAGAAAAATTTTTTTCCTAACCAAACAAGCCATAAATCTAATATTATTTCAGTCAAACTTAAAAGTATAATCTATCATTTCACTTAAAATATTTCTAACGCATTTTGAAAATTTTTTTAAAGTTACATAATACTCTAGAATCTAGATTTGGTTTTTGGCCATACATAATGATAATACATTAATTTGCAAATGATAAAATTGTTCTTATCAGATAGATTTGGCAAGTGTAGATACAATAATGATAGGTTATTTCATTGCCAAAAAATTTCGATTGATAATTAATTATCAAAAAATATTGTTAACATAATATTATTAAGAGTAATAATAAAGAAAATAAAAATTTAAAACTAAGAACATAGTGTAAGTTATATCATTTTATTAGTTAATACATATAATATTATTTAATACATGTAATATTATAAATCTTAAAAAAATAAAAATAATTAATTATTATATAATATAAAATTTATTTTTTAATTATTTAAATATATAATTTAGTTTACGTTATTAATTTTAAAATTTCATTTCATTTATAACCATTCTATTATTAATAAAAATTATTATTACAAAAAGTTTTTGGCAACCAAAAAACTAGCCCACCCCCACCGGTGCCCACCCCGTTCACCCTAGAGAAGTTCAGTAACAGCATTTCGGCTGACGTAAAAATGTAAGAAATAAAAAGATTTATCTAATTTATATGTTAGTGATAAATATTAAAAATATAATTAATATTTTTTATATTAATTAATATAAAAATTCATATTAATTTTATTATTAATATTTTTTTTGAATATATTTTGTAAGGAGCGGGTTTCGAATCCTGTCGAGAGAAATGTACCGGTGATTAATGTCACTAAATCTAAAGGTAGAATGCATTTTATTATTAATATTATATATTATTTTAAATAAATAAATAAATAAATATTAAAATTTATTTTTAATCACAATTAATATTAAAAAAAGTGTCGTTAGAGTTCAAAAAATGCGGAAAAAACAAAAAAGAAACAGAAAGAAAGAAAACGGCTTCGGACGAAAGCTACGCGACCACGCGGAAGGCGTAGCGTAACCACGTCGCTGTCTCGTCTACCTTTTTTGGGAGGGTTTGGTTGGAAATTTTTTAAAATTTTTCTCTCCTTATAAATATATTTTTATACGTTAATATTAATATTACTGTACAATAAAAAGAATAAAAATGATATTTAAAATATTTATTTTTTTATACCATTTTTAGCT